GGGGGGGGGGGGGGACGAAACGCGAGGAGCGAGGAGTTTCGCGTGAGGAGTCTCATGTTTCCGTTGTTCGTCGAGGATTTACATGATCGCCGAAATCGTCGACTTCGTCGGAAGTTTTGTTTCCGAGATAAAATTTCATCGGGGAATGGTGGAAAAGTAGAGAAAAATTACGTGATCTTTACGCAGGCTCGAAGTCGACGTCGATCCGGACTCTCGCAATCTTCGCAAACCTTCGAACGGGTAACGTAGTTTCAACCGATAATCGATAATCGACGAACCGAGTGAACTTCGCCGTTGCCGTTGTTGATGCGAACTTAACGCCGCTTGTTCGTTCAGATTGGTGCCAAATGTCGCATTTTGAGGCCACGACGACGCGTAACGCGGAATTAACTGAAATCGTCATCGTTACTGCCCGATTTAATCATAATTGTTCGATTTAAGATAAACGAGACGGTACCATTCGGAGAATACCGCGGAGAATAAGGGCTCAGACACAATAAAAGGAATAAAGGACAATTAAATATAGAGAATTAAGAACGAGGGATTAAATTTGGACAATCATATTTCAACCCGCAATAAAGGAATAAAAAACTGAGATTGGGAACACTGTTGAAAGTCAGTTTGAATCGATCGAGAAATACCAAGAAAGCGATAAAAGTGTCAATGATGACAGTTCATTAGAAAATGATAAAAGTGGTGATTTTGTTTCAAAATGTTCTTGTATTTTATTATCTATCCCTTTCACTGTGTTTTAAATTATAACTTATGCCTAATAATTCATTCCTACTACTAGAAAAAAAAAAAGTAGTTCTCTTGACTATTTTTGTGGTTAGATTGGAAAAAGGATATGGCTGTCCCCGAAAATAACTATATTTTTTTCTCGGTGAACTCTTAATTCCTCGTTCCTTTCATTGTATCTGAGCTCTCACCGTTCCCCGCGGGTGCACACGAATCGACCGGAAAGCGGTCCCCTCACGTGAGGGAAACGAATTTCGGGTAACATCCTCCTGAATGAGCACTCGGTCAAGTACACACCGCTACGCACTCCGGGAGCGCGCTCACGCACGCACGCACGCACGTACGCGGGCACGCAAGCCGGAGTAGTTCACCGTCACCGCCGTGAATGCCGTCTCTCCATTTATGGAAGGGCCGACTTGATAATAACCCACTGCTTATTTGCCCTACTTCGCCGGGAATCGGGCTCGGCGATTACGGATTTTTGCTACGAGTATCTGTCGATTATCGGTTATCCGGTTATCGGGATTTCAATGCCCGCATTGCCGCTCGTTTTCCGCGTCGACCACCGGGCCCCGGCCGGCCCGCGACAGCGCGTTCTCGTGAAATTTCGCGAGATTTCCTCGTCGACGGGTTTCAAAGGCGCGGTGGAAAGCGAGGAAAAGCGGGTCAGACTCCTCCACGAGGAGACTGCTTCCGTGAGTCGCGCGAATCGACGCGTCGAGGAAAAGCACGCGATTCTGTGGCGCGGCCGCAGAGCTGTTTGAGTGCGTCGTAAAGCTGTCAGAATGCTTACTTCAATCGGGAACTCGGGGGGGG